ATATCACCATATCACCATCACCATCTACAATTCGATCATAATCATTTTTGTATGTAATTCTACTAAAATAGTGTTGCGAGTGAGTTAGCAATACTTTAAAGCCTGCCCAGAGTTATTGAGGGGTCGGGGCAACGCTGAAGTCACTGTAAACTAGGCCGTTTATAAAAGCCAACATTAACAGCATTATTCAAAAAGGCCAAACATTTACCTCCGACTCAATTTTTCTTAGGAACATAAGAATGTTAATTTGAGAATTATACTTACCCTCCAGTGACGGCTCTTCTGCCAATCTCTGCAGAGAATCTGGAAGACAGTCATTTGAACACGTCTCAACTTCTTGTAAAGCAAACGTTTGGGACGGAACAATGAAATTACACGATTGTATGTGCGTTTCCTTATCTGCGAAAGACTGTGGCATATTTGTCCGAAAAAAATAGTGTGCAAATGTTTGTGGCAGTTAGCACGGTACAGTGATATTGCCTTTATTCACTGCAACCAGCGGCATCATTTCGCTGGCTGTAAATAGCATTGTAGTTGTTTTAATTTAACATTGACACGTAACATTTTGAAATAAAATACGGCTTTGCACTTGATACCGTATATTACCAAACTGAATCCTCTAAAAGGAAGTGCAGTGGCAACACTCAGTTGAAAACCACAAACTTTTCGGTCGTTTATTATGGGCACAGAGTCTTTGGAAAAGTGGATCTTTTCAGTCTGATCTGGTTACATTAATTTTTTAACCAGTTGGGTCCTGACTTTGTGTATGGATAAAAATGGTCGTCTATTTGTTGATACACGGTCCGTTGAAAACAATCCTTTCCAACCAAGCTGCAGATCCAAATTTATATTTTTGCCGAAAGATATTGTTCCTGAGCACTCGGTCTCTTACAAAAGATGTCGCATATTGATCAAGCACTAATTTTTAGGTTTGACATGGTTTTGATTTCATTATCACATCATCTCTAAAGTGTTAAAGATGTACCAATTCCCTACATAAGAAACGATGAACCAGACGGTGCTAGTGAGCAAACGCTAACAAAAGTAAATTGCATTTCTTGTTGCGTATAAGTCTCAAAGTTGACAACGACAGCACGGAACTTCTACAAACAACTCTTGGTCGGAATAGCGTCAAGACGTAGGCAGAAATTGCAAGATAATTATGCGTAGTTAACTCTGTCATTAGCAAAACATTTCCCCAATTTATCACTTATGCCGTATAAACCATTTGTCCTATATGGTAAGTGGTCCAAAACGTAATGATTTTGAACAAAATGTTTCATCGGTGGACGGCGGTAGCAGCACGCTTGTCAAAGTATTAATGCAAAGGTTGTCGGTGAAGGTTTATTTGACTAAGTGGCTCTATTTTCGATTGTTTTCTAAGTTTGTCCAAATCTTTGGCATGTGTATTCAGCGTCTATTCTCCGGGCCGAACGAACCCCTAATGTTTGATTGTAATAAAGCGCTTTTTCCTGATAGTGTGTGGAAATTATTTATTTTTCAACTCTATTAGGCCATAATTACTATTAACTCTCCTGAAATTTTTATTATCCTACTCAGTTTTAGAACCTGAAACGTGCTTTTGACTTTGTATTTACTACGTCAACTAAAAAAACACGTCCGAAAATGTAACTTACTTCTTAACTCTTCCAATTCCCCTTCTACGGCTTCTAAATGTGTTTGATAAACAGTCGGCTCTTTGAATATCCAAGGTGTACATCGTTTGAAAAAATGACCAAATGTCGATACAATTACTACCCACTCACCCTAAATATTTACAGCGCTGCAGTCTAGTTTGCAGTATCTACCGAGCAGAGCATCCACAGTTACAGTACACGAACATCAAGCTCAGGTTGTTTTCAGCTCCGATTATGTGCCTGCGGCCTGTATCATAAATCCAAAACAAACTACAGGCTGACAACATTGCCGTGGGTAGGAGTTTTATACATCTAAGTAGTCAGTTGATACTGCTTTAGTAAGTGTAGTGCGCAGTAAGCCGGTTTTTACAGAATTTCGGATCATGCGGAAAATCCCTTATATTTGACAACCTGCATTGTTTAAGCCAGGCTTGGTCTTCAAGTGGGGACAAATGTAACCAGCGACAACATTTTTAAAAGAGTATGTATGAAAAATTGATCTAACCTCCTCTGCGGATTTGCTGAGCCTAAATATGCAGCTGGTTAAACAGGTAAGATTATTATTTTCAAAATTCACTACACCCAGGAAGCGCGTTCTACTGGCTGCTGAAGCAGTAATACTCCCGCTGTGACATGAAAACATCCATAAAACGGAGATGATTCCGTTGGGGGAAACAAGGTCTAATAGTGTGGGACCCCGGCTATCACCTCGGGTACTTTGCTGTGTTATAAAGTTAAAATAGGGGTAACAGTCAGTGATCGGGGGAGCTTGAACCACAAATGACGGAGTTCGGTTACTGGTTTTGGACAGCACTCCGGGTATACTCCAATCGAACTCAGCTGCTGACTACACTAATCCAAGATAGTTTTGAATATTTTGCCTAAAAATGCTCAAACCACCAGTAAAAACAAAAAGCCGGCGCCTATTGATATGAGCGCTTGCAGGCACTGTGGAAAAGTTACGCGGTCGCTGGTTTTTCCCCTAAGTTTATACATACAATCTATTATTTGGAAAATATTTGTCTCAAAAAATATGACTCTGAGTGATTGGTTTACTGAAAGTAATGTACCAAGGTTCCCTCCGTCAAACACACACTGACAACTTTCGGTTTGATGGAACAACAGTCTGCAAATTTTCGTAAGCGTTTTGATTTCATGGACTGGGTTTTGCTAATGGCGTCAAAATATTGGGCCGTTTTATCATGAATACGATCAAACAATGTCATATCTTGTCGATTAGTAAAGAAAATCAAGAAATCTTTGTTGGGTAGAAAACCTTTCTGGGTCTTAATCGTGCGTCACTGTGCGGAATGTTTAGGACGTAAATACGAAATGTTATAATTCCATCGGTTGGCATAAACAACCTACTACTAATATGGTTGCTGACATCGATGGAAACATCACGACCAAAAAAACAATAAAAGATGTCTTGTCATGGATTTTACAAAACCAATAAAGAGTAACTCAGAAAAATAACATACCTTTCAAATCAGTGAAATTTCGTAATACTTGGACTGAACATTTTGGAAGAGAATTCGGTCAAAACCGTGATTTTTTAGCGCATTAGGAAGTAACAGTCTGTGTGGTTTGTATTTGAAGACAGACAATTCAACCTTTTGATGTTGCTTTAGTGACGTAGCAATTATCCAGATAACCAACTGCGTTTTTCTGAAATTTAAAAGATTACACACATCCGATTTATTATTACAAGGCAGATAAAGCGTACTTGCTAATAGTAGCTTGTCCTTTTTCTCTGCATCTGTAGACGTTAGAAAGAATGTGATTTCATATAAAAAAAACTCACACAATTGCTACAAAACGAATGACAAATGGCTTAGGCGGTGATAAGCTCAATAATGGCCTTTTCAACTAGCATGCAGATTACCTACAGTGGCCTGAATTCAGTGACCTATAGTGGCATAATTTACAATGGGTTCATTAGCACCTGTATACAAAAAAGCACGGTTATCTTAACTGAAACTTTATCCATTCAGTCTCATATTCAGCGCCATTCAATGTACGCCTGTAATAGACTAGTTTAAATTAATTCTGTCTGTCTGCCGTTCGTTTGTTATATGACGCGGTTATTTAGCTGCCGCAGAGTAATACTGGACCAAACCTTACGATGGTCAACTGTAAGGTAATAAACGTGCTAATTGAAGATTGCTTGGATGTTGGCTTGCGGTTATCTGATATTTAAAGAAAACCATTTATATATTGATGATATTTTGATATGGGCCCTCCGTAATAGTTAATTGCATCACAACCAAACAGCAATAAGCGGTCTAACAGTTAGCTTTATTCAAGTTGTCACTAACGTCGCTGTCAAAGATGACTTGCACTATATACTGTAGAATGAAATGCAGGAATATATATAAATAGACCTTCTATTTCCTTTGTTCTTTCGTCAACTCTGCCTGGAAAAGTCAAAAAGATGTTGTTTTTAGGTTTTCGAAAAATGCATTTTCATGCAATCGCACCAAATTAATAAATGAAACAAATCACAACTTTTCCACGTAATCTTCACTGCCAAATTACTATCAATGAGTTTACTCAAGTTATGTTTTTATACGCTTAATTCGTGGAATGTACTTATAAAGGTTATGCCTTGATTTTTTTCGCTTTTACCAATCATCACCATAAATTAACATCAAGATCAAGAAAAATTGCGCGACAACGCTTGTTAAATTTTTATCCGCCCCACACCTGGGTTCTAGTGTGTAACGGGGTACTACTGATGAGTCAAGCAAGTAGTATGTTGTTTCCTCAAAGATTCAATGGAAGAGGAGGTTCACTACGGAACTTGTAATGCTTCTTCGCAGCATTCCTTTACAATTGCCGGATGGTTATTGAATATTCACCGGACCTCAAGAAGACACATAAGCACCTTCGGTTTTTTGTGATTATATGCATATGAAGGTTCTAATTTGTCTGCAAAATAGTTTGTAACTGCTTAGTTTGTGTGCGCAGCGAAGGGCTTCTATCTGGTGCCGTCTCAAGGATACTGACGAAGATTCAGTAGCCACAATAATTTGGGGATGGATGTGGGAACCTTCCTGGAGGATTTTGAAGATGTTTCGGAGGCAGATGCACTGAAGAACGACAGGGGTACTATGGTGACACTGAAGACTCTCCTCATAGGCCGGGAAAATGTGGTCTTGAATGCCACCAGAACGGGCCCTCGGATGATGGACTGGGTCGCCACAAAGGAAACTCTTGCAATGAAGTTCAAAACAGCGACCTTATGCCAGCAAGCTTTGAGGTGCATCAGGACGATCAGGATGAAGCCCGGTTGCGACTCAACCGTCCTTTAAGTCAGCCCACAAAAGTCGCTGGATCAAGCTTTCCCAGAACTGGACGAACTGTCGCGCCAGCATTTTTGCCGTACGAAGAGCTCGCCGAACGTGTGTAGACTGCGTCTGGTGCCCGGTTGCGGATGGCGATGGCAGTTGACCAGTTGAGTGTGAAAGAGCTGGTGCATCTGGCAGGTGAACTGGCCGAGGTGCCACTGGCCATTTTGCAGTTCTGGGAGAAGAGGGATAATTCACCAGTAGAGAACCTGCAGATAAATTGGACAAACTAGCCAAACAGATTGCAGCCAACAAGGCAAAATCTTCAAGGCGCTGTCAGAAGAGCCGATGCAACAAAAGTGGCATGCCTGGCTAGTGGAAGAATTACTGTCTTCGTAACCGACCACCTGGTAATAATGCAGCTCTGAATTACTCCTCCCTTTCCGGGTGAGTTGTAAATAGTGCAGGGACAACAGCAAAGATACAGGCCATTGTCGTGATAGGAAATGGAGCTGCGCTTAACGGATACAAAAGTATGGTATGAGGCAGAAAAGGAACGAGGCTGAATGCAAACCGTGCGCGCTAGACTTGCGAGCACTTGATAGATACTGGCACGAAATTGACGGATAGTCAATGAACTCAACGCCACTAGACGACAGGTCGGTTCATCCCGAGTTTCTGACCAGCTCTGACATAGAACGACCTATTTTCGGAGCGGATTCTCTCAAGAGCGCAGAATCCGTGGTTACCCTCACGCAGAGAAAACTGGTGACAAAATATGGCACCGTCAAGCCCAAAAGTTACCCAAGCACTGCCGTGAGTAAACTGAATGTCCAAGAGCTTCGGCCTTGTAATGTGCCGTTAGTACAGTCTGTGGTCATGTAATACTCTAGATTGTTCACGGACGATGAAGATCCATTTGGTTTCCGGTTGTGAACTGAACACAAAATTTCCCTCTTGTCCGAATGCTTTCGACCTTAAAACCCTCGTTAGCTGCCACACATTTACGGGAAGACGTACATAGACTGGTTCAAGCGATGTTGAGAAAATAGCATAATCGAGGGAGTCCACAATGCGTACAACCGCCCGGTTGTGGTTGTAAAATAGAGGAACGGATAATACCAATTTTGCGTGAGTTTTCGGCGTTTGAATGGACTGACCATAAGTCCCTTCGGTTGCGAAAATTCTCGAATTCCTCCATCATCCCCGATATTTCACGGTAGTCGACTTGCGTTCCGGATACTAACAAGTATCTGCCTATTTAGAGGGCCGGAAAAAAACGGCTCACACAGTTGGGGACGTCCAACATCAGTTTAGGCGGATTCCGTTTAACCCGTCGGGGGTACCATTCACATTGTGGCGCTTGATGCTTGGTTTAACAACAGGACTACGGAATGTTGTCCAGTACGGAGAAGATATCGTTGTGTATGGCAGTTCGGAACCAGAGCACATATTTCAGGTGAAGGCTGTATTGAAGCGTATGCTGGAGGCTGGTCTGCAGATAAGTGAAGCCAGGACATAGCTCGCTCCGTGTTTAGTGCCACTGCTCGGGCATGTAATGAGGTTAGCCAACTGCCAGTGAAACTGACAAAGACCCAGGACTGTGTTGTTCCCAATTCCAAGGGGTTCTCAAAGCAGGTCCTTCAACGATCAGTATTTTACAGCTGGTTTATCAAGGACTTCAACTTAATTGCTCTTCTACTAACGACTTGCTTGGGCTGGATCGCGAATTGGATTAGTCAAGGTAAACACATGAGGCCCTCAAATGAGTCAGAGTGCGGATGCTGGATCAGCAATCGGCCCTCAAACTGCCCCGGAATGTGAAAGCAGCGGATGCTAGTAAACGCGGTATCGGTACAGTCCTAAAGCAAATGAATGGGATCATCAAATATGTCAATAGTGTCTTGACTAAGGCTAAACAGAACTACTCAGCTATCAAGAAAGAATGCTCAGCGATCGTCGAGGCTCTGGATAAGTGGAAGCCATACGTGCTGGCACACATATTTCAGGTCGAGATCTATCACAGAACGAACAGGGATCATCGCTGAAGGCTGGTTACAAAAGTACGACTTGTGTTGAACCTTCCCTTGGCTAAAGAGAGGAACTTCGAGTTCCTTCCAAGCAAAACACACTTTTCAAATTATGTTGGCGTACGTTTATTTTTCTACATAGTCTGAGCCTGACAGTTTAGCTTGTGGCTTGCTGAACAACTCCAATGTTAACCAATATATTTGCTATTTCTTAACCATGGCTTTATATAAAAGATTCTCAAGGCAACAGATTATTTGAAAGGCGTTTCTGCTAGAAGGTCAAATGTTCACAATGCTAATTACGCTTAAACCGATCTTGGGTGAACGGAACCAATATATATTTCTTAACCATGGCTTTATATAAAAGATTCTCAAGGCAACAAATTACTTGAAAGGCGTTTCTGCTAGAAGGTCAAATCAAATGAATGCTAATTACGCTTAAACCGATCTTGGGTGAACGGAGAGGGAATCAGTTCAAGAACTGGAACCCTTAAAATATTTGAACA